CATGGGTGGATTCGGCAAATGAATTACAAAGGTATCTATCAATGCCTTATCATTAGTTTTATGGTTTGAGACAATTTTTTATGTAATTTTAACCAAGCCAAACTGCCCTCATGAAAAATGCTTCGATTGCTTTATCTGTGAGGCATAAACAAGAATTATATCCATGAAAATTGAGTTCTAAGGGGAAAGATATCCGAGTCCATTTATTCAAAGCGTTTGCTCTTATTTGTGGTTTAGTGTTGCAAGTATGAGAAAAGGGCAGCATATTGGTTGAGTTTGAATGTCTTTCTTCGTTAATCGATAATTTAAATCTTGATATTTTCACACTTTTCTTGATGGATGAAAATTGAAAGTTCTCACAATCGCTAATGGAAGGAAACATGCTGTAGGTGTTGATGTTCGTCCATGGCAGCATGGTTTTTGTCAATGACAACATGGTTCTGGTCACTGGCAATTCATCAACATGTCACGGCAAACAACGATGACACCTGTATCTCCGGTAGACGTTAGCTGGCCAACAAGAAGGGATAAATAGATTTAAAGATGGCTTCCATTTGAGTTAAACCAAGTAAGTTTCAACCTCTTAGTTAAAAGTGATGGGTTGCTTAATCATTAATTTTGTTTGCAAATGTGATGAGATGGCTGAGGGGATGATGACTGTGTTACTGACCATAATTTTAGGCTAAAAAGGGCAGGAACTATTGTTTGCAGAGCAATGGAAAATGCATTCAAAGAGTCATCGTTGCTTAAATATTCTTAAGTTGGCAGCATTTATCCTTTTTTTCTGTAAGCCTTTTCTCTGTGCGAAGCTTCTATGGCTTATTTTGGCTTTGCTACATGCAGTGTTTTGCCCCATAACTTATTTGATGGGCATGGGTGGGTTCGGCAAACCAGGTGCATATCCATTGTGCCCTCCCGCTGCAGTCAAGGATGCTGGGATCAGGGCACAAGACTATAAAATTAGGGATATTGCAGCCCAAGTGACCGCCTCCTTGTTTTTTACAATAATCTTTGATGAATTCAGAAAAGCATTAAGTCAATGAAATTCTGATATAGTAGACAATGACAACCATGGCAATATTTAACAGAAGAGAAGAACATTAGATAGAATTCTATACAACAAACAATAGCAGAAAGAGGAGTCTGAGACAAGACTACCGGATCTTCATTTGTTTGTCCATGCTAAGATACCTTCAGATCTTGTGAATAAATCATATGAAATTTCTATTCATTGAGAGATAACATGCTAAGATCAAACACTGTGTTCCACTTGAGCAACTTGTCCTAAAAAAGCATACCTTATCCTCAAAAAGCATCTTGTTTTGTCCAGTCCGAATACCCCACAAGATTCCATAGGATATATAGCATGATTAAAGTTTCCTTTGAAACCTGCCAGTAATTAACCATTGACTCCATTGCAGAACAACCTAGCCCACTGTTTTAGGCATTCACCAGCTAATACCAAGCCATTTCATGACACCCAACTAGTAATTAGGTTTCATAAAATCAGAATGGCTCATCTATTATACAGGAGCAAGTGCATGGACGGCATGGAAATCGAGACTACCTACGAGCAGTAAGAGCCGGTAATTAAGTGAAACACTTGATTTCCCTTTTCGTCTTGCATGTGAAGGTACTGCAGTTTTGCCCAACCTTCTAGAAAGATGCTTTAAATCATGGTTAGTTATAAGAACCAACCATCGACCGACTTGAACCGAGACCTGAAACATATTCCTTGAAACTTAAATTTCTAACATCGCTACATACAAGTTTCACCTCCAAAACTAAAGGCTTAAATGCGATGGCTATCACTAAATAATTATCGAGTGTGAAAGAAATTAACCAAAGACAAACGTGCTGACCAAATTTGATATATTCCTCTGACCGACTGACTTGTCCAGCCCTTATATTAACCAAAACGAAAGCTTGAACAAACTGAAAAGGAACAGGAAAGACCATATAACTATACCTAAGCACCAAAACCTTAACCTCAGCTACAAGCAACACAATCTTCTTTTCTTCTCCACCAAAGGAACAGCTTGATGACATTCCAGACCCCCCCTCATGAGCCTAATAATTAATTTTGCTAGTACTGCTACTTTAAGTGTGCCAGCACATGCAACTGATCAATCAAGGAGAGATTCTGCATGCTTTAAAGAGAGTGTTCGCCTGCTAACTAAGACGTCATCTCCCGCCGATTGTCGTCATAACACTTCACAGTCTCCTAGCTCCCCCGGAGTGTTAAAAGTGTCTTATCGCCACCGTGTCTTATTGTCGTGGGACTTTAAGGGGCTCCTAAAACTCAAAGTACACTAGCAATATTTTCACACAGAATCTGCCTCGAGAGTACTTATAACAACACAACCTGCCTCCCTCTCCTTCACCCCCTTTTCCTCCACTTTGCTAACAAATTTTCTCTAGATCCAATCATGATGCAGAATTTTAACAATTTTTTAAAAGAACCTTCTTTTGTTTGCTTCTAGTACTGCTCTCCCTACTCTTGTCCTAGGAGAATGCACATGTGATGAGGTGGAAGAAGAAGAAGAAAGCAATAAATCTGAGGCCTAGACAAAGCAGCAGCAATTGCTTCTATCTTTTTATTGTCAGTAGAAAACTTGGAAATCGCTGTATGATTCTTCTATCTTCTTGTAGTTGCTGTTGGTCCTTTCCTTTTTACTCCTACAATTTTATTGAATCAAACGAAAACCTATTAGTCAATAGAAGTGACAGACATAGCAACAATTTAGGTAACATTGTTAGCTAGGAGATGAAAAGGTAGAGAAGGTTAATTTAATCATATTTAAAGCTCTTCAGCTGTCCATTACATCGCATGATATTGAAATAAATTTGATCTGTTAATAAAATAAATAATATTGTAGAAAGAAAGAAAAAGATCTCTTCGTGAATAAATGAAGCTCGACCCAAAGCTAGCACAATGAGGTCTGTACTTTGTGTCCACGTGGCAATCTTATTAAAAAAAATGATGGCTGATGGTTGCACGATGGTGTGAATGTGCTGCGTATAAAAGAAAGAAAGAAAGAAGTGGTGATAGCAAAGAACTAGATCATTCTCTGGTGTTCCATCAATTTTTTTAACAAAAACAATGTACAAGCGATATTAATATTTTTTTTTTCAAAATTTAAGAAAATAATATATTTTATCCATCCAGCAGGTTAAATCTTTAATTTAGATTATAAGTTTATGATAATTTTATAGAAAATTAATTAAAATAAAATTATAAAAATTAATTTATTATCAATTCAATATTAAATAAAAAAAATTCAAAAATAAAACTACTTGAGTTAACATAAATTAACTTACTAACCTCACAACTCTTATAAAATCATAATAATTTTATAAAAAATAAAAAAAATTATATTTCTATCAACTCCATTTAAAAAAATAAAAAAACCAATTAAATAAAAACTTTGTTACCCCAATTGTTGCTATGTTTGTCACTCCCATTTATTAACAGGTTTTGGTTTCATGAACTAAAATTGTAGGAGTAACAGGCCATCTGCAACTATAAAAGATACAGATATTTCCAAGTTTTTGACTGGCATAACGGGATAGAGAATGATTGTTAAGGAAAGATCTTGACTAGAGAATGTGTTTTCAAAAAATCTTCTCTGATAATGGTTATGGTTTTGTAGCTCTATTTTGCCATTAAAGATTTGATCAGCTTGCAGAGTCTGCCATGGGACGATCTGCAAAAGAAAAGGTTTTATACTAGCAATAAGTTGTAACCATGAAGGATTAGTTTGGAACATAAGCTTTTAGCTTGTAAAATTAATGGAGCAGGGAATGGGAAAAAAACAGGTCATTATAGAAAATTATACAAAATGATATGGAATGAAGATTGTTTTTCGTATTTCTTTCCAAGATTATAGCAGTATGTGTGTGTGTGTGTGTGTGTGTGTGTATTACAATTATTTCCAGCAGAATTTATATATACAGTAAAGATTGAATCCCAAGATTTCATTCTTTTTTCATTATGCATGATCAGTGATAATAGCTTGTAAAGTTGACCCAAAATCTTCGGTTACAATAGTATCTTCAATTACAATTTCAGTTGTTGGTGAATCTGCAGTTACAGGTGTAGAATTTGCAATTATGTACAAATTAACGCAGATGATTCAATAGTCCTTGAGATGTTTTGTTGCTCAAAAATGCTAGAAAACATCTTAATATACATGAAAGAAGTAACAAGTATTTGATTTGATGATCAACTAAAGTTTAAAATTTTATCAAAACAATAGACAAAGCTTTGGATTTGAATTTTAAAACCTTGATACCTAATTTATTTTTTCTGGACAATGAAGAAACAACGCCATCGAATTTAAAAAAGGTCTCAGCGGGATTTTTCTGAATTCTTGAATTGAGAATAACAGCTGAATTATTAATTATTTGTAGTTAATTAATAAACTTATTTAATTATTAATCTATGGTAAATAAGTGTTTATAGGACCAAAAAGAGAACTCTTTCTTTTATATTTTCTCTTCATTGTTCTTAAACTTGTTCCTTGAGTATTCTTTGGTAATAACTTTAGACTTGTTGATCTTAGTTCTTAGGTTAATTTGGATGCTTGACAACTATCAAATTAGTTGCAGATAAAATTAAAATTCATTGCTGAAAAAACAATCTAGCAACTGAAACGGAAAATATATTTGCCCCAACTAGTCTTAAAAAATAGCATTTCGTCAATTAAATTTAAGAAAACACTTTTCCATCAGGTTCTGTTGGTTCTTTTAGTGGCGTAGTGGGTTAACTTAACTATGTGCCTCTGATCTGCTAGTCCTGGTCAAGTTGGGCTCCATGCCAGCCCAGGTAGCTTGAACCATCACATGTTCTTCATCAGGTTCTGTTGGTTCTTTTCGATCCCCTCAAGCATGCTTATCTTGAAGAGTAATCCATTGCATGATGAGATTGAAATGCAGCCTTGAACAGATGTTTCGAGTCTTTTGACATGAAGATGCAATAATTAACACAATTTCACATGTTTTTGACAAGAGAATCTGAAATTTATTATAGCTTTTAAAGAATAAGTGCTACAAATACAATCTAGATACCATCCAATTGATTAATCTAGTTGAGAACAATCACAAAGGAATTGAAATCAGCTGAGCAATGAATTCAATAATTCAATTGCTATACATCTCTCAAATAATTGGAAAGCTTCACATGGGCTGTGGGATCTTTCATCTTCCTTTTCTTGAAATGTTTTGTGGCAGCTTTCAGCACTTTATTCCATCCCTGAACACATGTAGCAACCATTTATGATAATTAACATGGTCATTACAACACTAAACAATAAATAATCAAAGGGTTAAAGTTAATAACAATAAAGAAGAAAAGGATTCACATTAAAGGATCTAGAAGGGGCATCCATTTTACAAACATTATGAAGGACAAAGAACTCTATATCCTTGCTCTTCTATGGATCTTGTATAAATATTCTTCACATTTTTTTCTTTTAATCAAAACATTTTACTCAAATTGTCAAAGACTATAAGGATACTAAGGACTAAAATTTACCTTGGTAGCAAAGGGAACACAAGAAGTCTTAATTGAAGTTGGAGAGAACTCAGAGACCTTAACCTTATGCTTCCTTATCTTCAACTTACTAAGACTACCGTTGAAGGCAGTTGTACTGATAGCCATCTTCTTCATCATCATCTTCTTCTTCTTCTTGATGCTGGAGCTGAGTTTCTTGGAACCACTTCTACCGCTGTTCTTGTTGTCCAATTCTGAGACAAACCCAAATGCTATTTTTGTTGGAGTAACCAAGTCCAAATCCATGGGGCTGTAATTTCTTGGCACTAAAGGAGACCATATTGAGCTCTGAGCGTAGTCGAAATCGAAGGCAGAGTTATCTGGGAACTTGAAGAGAAGCTCTTTTGACATCACTGGCTCTAAATATTCTACCACTTTACAGGAAATAAGCCTTGCTGTCTCCTCCTCCTCCTCCTGCTCCTCCTCTTCTACTTGTTTCCTTTTCATTTTTGGAGTTGGATCTTTTTCTTTGTTTTGTGACCGTTATTTTTTGCAGAGTTTGAAATAAAGACCCAACTGTTTTAGGGACCAAAAGAGGTGACAAATGTTGAACAAGACACAAAAAGTGACCGTTGCAAAAGAAAAGAGGTACATTAAGTAAATTTTAGGACACTTTTTGTCCTTTCTTGCCCTTGGATCCACGGTAACCCGAGCTGTGTCTCATTTCAAACTAGAATAGTAGAATGGAGGATAACCAAAGTGAATTATGCACCTTCATGCAAGCCTTAAGGTTGACATTGTGAAAATAAAGAAGTACAGGGATCAAAGTAAAAAATTTCTATATATATATTGACATTTTTCTCTCATTATCTTTGAGATTATTGGAGCTGTACCTCTACTCTTATTGTAATGTTTGAGATTATAATGGATAATGCTTTTAAAAAATATATTAATTTTTTTATTTTGAGATTAATATATTAAAATTATTAAAAAGTACTAATAAAATATGAATTTAATATTTTTTCAAGATAAGAAGGATATTTAAAATGGTAGCAGTGGTTGTTTTTCGTAATGGATAATGCTTTTAAAAAATATATTGAATTTTTTTATTTTGAGATTAGCATATTAAAATGATTAAAAAGTACTAAAAAATATTAATTTAATGTTTTTTAAGTTAAGAAGGATATTTGAAAGAGTAGTAATGGTTGTTTTTTGTTTGAAAATATATTAAAATATTTTTATTTTAGTTTTTAAAATTTATTTATAATATCAAAAGGATAAAAAAAATAAAAAAATAAAAATTTTAAGCAATTTTTAAAAAAAAATGGAAAAAATAAAAAAAAATAATTTTAAGCAATTTTTTTTAAAAAAAAATGGATAAAAACTCCTGTTAAAATGTTATCCTAAACTGATACTAAAAACACTTAAAAAAAAGTAAAGCTATGAGAAATACCCCGTGTATTTTAGCAATGTGGACATTAAAAATCTGCGTGGCAGAACTAATTTTTCCATTGAACCAACCTCTACTGCTAAATACTAGCTCTCTTTTTTCCCCAGTTTCTTGTGTTGTGTGTTTTTGTAGAGCAATGTGGTATGAATAAGGCTATAATCAGTTAGAACTTTATTTAAGATGGTGTTAAAGCAGAGCGATGTGAACAGACAATTTGGTTTTAAAAAAACTCATGATACTCGGAGTTATAACTATCAAAAACAGGGCAAAATACAGAGCAGTGGGTTTTGACTCTTCACAATTTTAGAAAATATAGAAGAGAAACAGGGAAAATGCAGAGCAGTGGGTTTTGACTCTTCACAGCATTAGAAAATATAAAAGAGAAAATACAGAGCTGCGGGTTTTGACTCCTTCATCGCTGCTGCCATTAATTAATACATGGTTTGGTTTGATTACCCCCCTGATTCGGCTCGCTATCAACCTCCAAAATCAGTGGTTTTTTTGTTTTTGGGTGAAGCCCATTTGAAATGGGAAATGGGTGGGCTTTAGAATGGGTCTGATCCAGACCCAAAAAAATACTGGAGGACTTGAATCACAATGTGGATATATCTTTGAAGCCAGTTGTTTTGAATTTGTATGATTTACAAATGCAAACACAGTGGCAAAGGATGGACCAGATATTTTAAATTTTCAAAATTTATAAAATCTTAAAACAAACTATATGTTTTTGGATTAAACCGGGTGATCAATCTAATCGGTAATTTAAGTTTTATACCGGCAGGTCATGGAGTAAATTCAGTTTTATAACTATGATTATTTATAATAATAATAATAATAATAATAATGTGTAGAGTGCAAGATGGTCAGCTAAAAATAGATTATTTATAATAATAATAATAATAATATGTAGAGTGCAAGATGGTCAGCTAAAAAAATGAGTCTCAATATAACGAGTGCCATTGTCAATACTGGTGTTGGACTTTTCTTGTTACCTAGTCGAAGGGAATACGAACTTGAATAAATGCACCTAATCCAGTTCTATTGCTCTATTCCTCTCTTGATCTTTTGAAGCATGTGACCTTTGACATTTGACTAACCGTGTCACCCATAGAATTCAAAGATTGCATGGTCTTTGGTCTCCATTCTAGCTCTTTGATTAAGAGAAATTTCCCATGACTCGGGCTCCGATCTCATGGAAGAAGGAAAACATAGAGGAATTATCAGCTTCAACATTCTAACATTAACGCTTTCTATTCTACACCTTCCAATTTGGACTATCAAGCTAGATGATCAAATTATGAACATCCCTCGTTGCTTCCTAGCTGGCTAGGCACTGATCACATTCTCTGCCATTAGCCTCACGTTTGGTTGAATGGTTTGCATGCCCGAATTTCCAGTCAAAGAAGCCTAATCTTACAAGCCAATTAACTCTATAAATACCCACATGGACTCCTGCAAACTCCATTATCGATCTCATATACTTCCTTGCACCAACAAAGCATCAGTTTGATCTCTAGCTAGATATAAAGTACTTGTTAATTTGTTTTTGACGTCAATTAGCATGGCAACCACGCTCAAATCTCTCAGCTTCTTTGTCATTCTCTTGATGGTGATCTCCCTCTTCTTCATTGGGACTACTGAAGCCCGTCCCTTCAACATCATGAAGTCAGGAAACTCTGCTGCTAGCGGAGGTACTGAGAGTTTCTTTGATGTGTTATCACTTGAAGGAATTAAAGATGGTCCTAGTCCTGGTGTAGGACATGGGTTTATCAACAGTGAAATACTTGGAGAAATTAAAGAGGGTCCTAGTCCTGGTGTAGGAAATGAGTTCACCAACAGTGAAATACTAGGCGGGATTAAGGATGGTTCTAGTCCTGGTGCAGGACATGCATTCACTAACAGTGGTCCAAACCCTGGTATAGGACATGAGTTCACCAACAGTGGGATACTTGGTGGAATTAAGGAGGGTCCAAGCCCTGGTGCAGGACATGCATTCACTAATAGTGGAACACTAGGCGGGATTAAGGAAGGTTCTAGTCCTGGTGTAGGACATGCGTTCACTAATAGTGGGACACTTGGAGGAATTAAGGAGGGTCCAAGCCCTGGTGTAGGACATGAGCTCACCAACAGTGGAACACTAGGCGGGATTAAGGAGGGTCCTAGCCCTGGAGTAGGACATGAATTCACCAACAGTGGGACACTTGGAGGAATTAAGGGGGGTCCAAGCCCCGGCGTAGGACATAGGTTCACCAACAGTGGAACACTAGGAGGAATTAAGGAAGGTCCAAACCCCGGTGTAGGACATGAGTTTACTAGTAGTGGGACTTTTGGAGGAATTAAGAAGGGTCCACGTCCTAGTATAGGACATAAGTTTACTAAAAATAGGATACTTGGAGGAATTAAAGAGGGTCCAAGTCCTTGTTGTGGAAACAAATACACTACCGGCACCAAGCATTGACTCGTGTTTAGCCACAACAAATATTTAAGTTATTCTTTTTTATTTAATATTTGATATATCTTTATTTTTCATTTATAGATTATTTATTTTCTTTTTTGAAATTTTATGATTTATCATGTAATAGAGGTTTTATAAAATTTGAATTGCTAAAATGTCAAATTAATACATACAACTTATTATTAGCTTTGATGTCTCCTCCTTCTTTCTTTTTTTAATTGATCGGAATTTTGAAGATTAAAGGGAAATTGGGAGTTCTCTACTTAAGAAATGAGGAATAAATATTTGAAATATATATTTATATTTTTAGGATGATGTCAATTACATTTGTTTGGATCAATTTTTAACTTATTTAACATAAAGTCCACCTCAAACTAAATTCTCAGTACACAAATCACCGAAGTAATCCGTCATGTTTCAAGAATAAAAAAATATAACACTTAATAAAAATATTTGAAATGTATATTTATTTTTATAAGATATTATTTTTATCAATTAAATTTAATTGGATTAATTTTCAATTTAATTTTAAATAAAATCCAATCCAACTGAGTAAATGAATCACCAAATTCATCCATGGTACTTTATGAATTAGAGAAAAATAACACTTAATAAATGTGAAAAAAAATATTCATAATATATATTTTATATTTTTAAGGTCGGGTTATTAATCAGAAAAACTATAAGCTCTATATACTAAAAAAAAGAGAGGAAAAACTACAAGTTCTGTTGAAGAAAAACAAGAAAAAGGAAAATTCTTTTAAACAAATTTTACAAAGGCAGATCGAATTCTATGTTAATTTTCGAAGAGAAAAACTCTGCCTCAATCGAATTTAAATTAGGAAAGAAGCCAATTGAAACTTAGGTTCATCAGATGCAATTGAAAATAGGGCCCCTCATCTTCTAATTACTACACCTAACAACAGAATATATTAATTTCTTAAACAAAAATAATTAAAAAAAATCACTAAAACATGGTTGAAAAAATCCTGCATAATCAATTACAATAAATAAATCTATGTTGCTGTCGAGAGTTTTTTTTTTATAATTAAACTGTGTAATTATTTTATTGTGAATATATATAGTTTTATATCAATATTATTGGGAAAGATCAGACCAAATCAATATAACTAAAGGAAAGGTCAAAAAAAATTTCTTGGACAGATACACCAACCAAACAAGTTTGCCACCAGCGTCCCAACCGTGAATTTAGGTCATGAAAAGTCAAAAGTCCTTTGTGATAATTATCAAAGAAAACAGGGAGGACTTTCTTAGTTAAGGTTATCGTTTTAAATGCACCCTTCTAGTATATTTATGACAGCTATATATTGACAATTTGTGTGGAAGACTGACCAGATTGGTAGATGATGCATCTTGTACAAGTTCAAGCATTAATTTAGGGTTTGATTATATGATAGCTGTTTTTCAAATATATAGAGCTTTAATTACAAAATTTAAAGCTTAAGGAAATTCTCAATCCCTTTTATTTTCACCAACATTAGGGAGTGACTGATTTGGATGGTCATGGATAACTTGATGGCTTTTTTATAATAATGGTCCCTTAATTATTTTTATATTTAATTCAATTCTTTTCTATTAACTTTATTTGAGATTTGACTTAATAACTTTTTTTGTTTGTTTTGATATAAGGACTTTCCAATATTGAGTTTTTTTTTTGTGACTAACACTTAATTTTGCAAACTAAAACAAAATTTTTACTAATTTAAAATAATTAAGTATTAAGAAACTAAAATTAAAATTAAAATTAAAATAAATATGAGGATTGGGGTAAGCGAGAAGGAAAAATTGAATATCATGCACATCAAATGTATCATTATGTGGAGGAAGCCCACTGTGTTTAGATAGCACATGTAGCTTTCTTAATAGACAAAAGTCAGTTCCCACGATGATGTTAGAAATGGCACAGCATGTTTTTCTTGTTGGTTAGACACATGTTAGCAATGGAGTGGTTGTAAGGTTATGACAAATTTTTTTTCTTCTCCTCTCTCTTTTCTCTTCTTTCCAATGGATTCTAGCTAGTTTGTCAAAATTAAAAGATATCTTGTCATTTTATTTTGATATCAAATTTATTTTTTATTTTTTTTATTATTTATTTTGTTTAGGGGTTTTTTAATTTTTTTAATTTTTATATCAAGTCTAGTCTTCATTCTTTTAATTGTAATTTGTTTTATTTTGGATCCTATTCTTAATTGAATTTATTTTTAATTTTATCTATTAATATTTAGTGTCATTGTATTTTTATATCAAGTTTAGTCCTCATTTTAGTAATTACTATTTATTTTGTTTTGAAATGATTTTTTTTTTAATTTCATCTCTGAGCATTTAGCTGATTGAAAACTTGACTTCATGAATTTTTTTATGCTTGTCTTATATGGATTAATCCTAACTTTATGAACTACGTCATGTGTTTGGAAGATTAGCTTTGCATTTTTCACTTAGCATTTGGTTTTATTTAATATTTATATCAAATTCGGTCCTTATTTTTTTTTACTACAATTTGTTTTGTTTTAGATCCTATTATTAATTGAATTTTTTTTAATTTTATCCATCAACATTTGATGTTACTATATTTTTATGTCAAATTTAATCCTTATTTTATTGATTACTATTTTTTTTTGTTTTGAAATGACTTTTTTTTTTCAATTTCATCTCTGAGCATTTAGTTGATTGAAAATTTGACTTCATGAATTTTTCATATTTGTCTTATATGAAATAATCCTAACTTTATGAACCGAGTCACGGATTTGGAAGATTATTTTAAGCTGACTTCAATTTTTTTTCAAGTAATTTTTTAAAATTAATTTTTTCTAATTACATCATTCAATATTGGATTGGTTAGGAAATGAGATCTTTATTTTTTTTACTTTATTTATATGGTGTTATCTTAATATCATGTTTGAAGTTGTAGCTTTGAAGTGTTAATCTAGTTTTACTTGCGGTTTTTTTTTAATTAATATTTTTTTAATTTTATATTTTAATATTGAATTGTTTTAATAATTGAATTTTATAATTTTATTTAATTTATATTATATAGAGTTATCCTAATAAAAACAAATTAAAAACAAGTTAATTTATTTAAAAAAAGAACTAGTACATTAATAAAATAAAATAAAGAGAGCTGGTATTTAATTATAGACCCTCGGGAGAAGCATTTTTGGGTTCATAGAATTTTTATACTTTGGCTCCTAATTTTTTTTCTTCTTCTTATTTGATTCTTTAATCTTATTTTGATATGCAATTTACTCTTGGTGATTTATTTTTCATGCCAATGTATATTGATCTTGAGGAGCTGAGGAAACGTTATGTTGCTCATTTTAGCAAATAAAATTTAGTTTTATTAATTTAAAATAATTAGAGCTTTAATTACAAAATTTAAAGCTTAAGGAAATTCTCAATCCCTTTTATTTTCACCAACATTAGGGAGTGACTGATTTGGATGGTCATGGATAACTTGATGGCTTTTTTATAATAATGGTCCCTTAATTATTTTTATATTTAATTCAATTCTTTTCTATTGACTTTATTTGAGATTTGACTTAATAAGTTTTTTTGTTTGTTTTGATACAAGGACTTTCCAATATTGAGATTTTTTTTTTGACTAACACTTAATTTTGCAAACTAAAACAAAATTTTTACTAATTTAAAATAATTAAGTATTAAGAAACTAAAATTAAAATTAAAATTAAAACAAATATGAGGATTGGGGTAAGCGAGAAGGAAAAATTGAATATCATGCACAACAAATGTATCATTATATGGAGGAAGCCCACTGTGTTTAGATAACGCATGTAGCTTTCTAATAGACAAAAGTCAGTTCCCACGATGATGTTAGAAGTGGCACAACATGCTTTTCTTATTGGTTAGACACATGTTAGCAATGGAGTGGTGGTAAGGTTATGACAAATTTATTTTCTTCTCCTCTCTCTTTTCTCTTCTTTCCTATGGATTCTAGCTAGTTTGTTGAAATTAAAAGATATCTTGTCATTTTATTTTGATATCAAATTTAATCTTTATTTTTTTATTATTTATTTTGTTTAGGGGTTTTTTAATTTTTTTAATTTTTATATCAAGTCTAGTCTTCATTCTTTTAATTGTAATTTGTTTTATTTTGGATCCTATTCTTAATTGAATTTATTTTTAATTTTATCTATTAATATTTAGTGTCATTGTATTTTTATATCAAGTTTAGTCCTCATTTTAGTGATTATTATTTATTTTGTTTTGAAATGATTTTTTTTTCAATTTCATCTCTGAGCATTTAACTGATTGAAAATTTGACTTCATGAATTTTTTTATATTTGTCTTATATGGATTAATCCTAACTTTATAAACTAGGTCATGTGTTTGGAAGATTAGCTTTGCATTTTTCACTTAGCATTTGGTTTTATTTAATATTTATATCAAATCCGGTCCTTATTTTTTTTTACTGCAATTTGTTTTGTTTTAGATCCTATTATTAATTGAATTTTTTTTAATTTTATCCATCAACATTTGATGTTACTATATTTTTATGTCAAATTTAATCCTTATTTTATTGATTACTATTTTTTTTTGTTTTGAAATGACTTTTTTTTTTCAATTTCATCTCTGAGCATTTAGTTGATTGAGAATTTGACTTCATGAATTTTTCATATTTGCCTTATATGAAGTAATCCTAACTTTATGAACCGAGTCACAGATTTGGAAGATTATTTTAAGCTAACTTCAATTTTTTTCAAGTAATTTTTTAAAATTATTTTTTTCCAATTACATTATTCAATATTGGATTGGTTAGGGAATGAGATCTTTATGTTTTTCACTTTATTTATATGGTGTTATCTTAATATCATGTTTGAAGTTGTAGCTTTGAAGTGTTAATCTAGTTTTACTTGCGGTTTTTTTTTAATTAATATTTTTTTAATTTTATCTTTTAATATTGGATTGTTTTGATAATTAAATTTTATAATTTTATTCCATTTATATTATATGGAGTTATCCTAATATCACAACTAGATGATAAACTAACTCAAGAGAGCTTAAATCTTACCTTTG